CATAAGACTCCATCATTAAACCTCAGGCACGGACTGGCCCGCTCACGCCAGCCCTCCCACCGGCCTGTCCGCACGGAGGAGCCTCGGTGCAGACCGGCGGGGGTGACGGGGTGGGGGGGGGGGTGTTTCACTCTTGCTGGATGATCCAGGAACCACAGACTCCCCCCCTCTTCCTTCCTCACAGGGTCAGGATGGCGGGGGGGGGGGGGGGGGGGGGGCGGGGGTGGGGAAGGGGCCTCTTCTCCCAGCAGGTGGAACTGTGAGTCTGCATGTAGCTCTTTCTCCGAAGAGCAGTACTCAGCTTCCTCCGGTCACATCACTGCCCCTTCTGCTTCTCCTTCAGGAAGTATTACTCAAGAGGGCGGCGGATCTCGTGGAAGCCTTATACGGGATGCCCCACAACAACCAGGTAGGCAGACGGCAGCCTGACGTGCCTGCCCCCTCCCCAGGCTGACCGTGTCCTCGGAGGGGCCAGCTGGCCCGGGTCCACCGCGGGTTTTCTGGGCGCACACGCACCCGTTCACGACCGCTCAGTCTGGTGGGAGAAAGGTTCGCCTTCCTGTTTTCACCCTCACCCCGGGGATGTGAGTAGAAAGTCACACGTCAGTGTCAGGGAGCCGGAGCAGCAGGCCTTGTCACAGGGAACAGCCACCTCGAAATCCGTCCGGGGGATCCGGTGGTAGGTGGACGGCTGGTGCTGCCGGCCTGGGAGGGAAGGACGGGCACCCACGGCCCACCTTCGTCCCGCTGGAGGTCTGCTCCGGAGGTCTCCGGGGAGCAGACGTGAGGGTATTCGAGATGCTCCTCTGACTCCGGGTCCGGTGCCTTCCACGCCTCCCCAGCTTCTGTGCGCGCCTTCGGGGGCCCCTGGGCTGTGGGTGCAGAACAGAGCACACGTGCCCTCTCAGAAGCACCGTTAGATTATTTTCCTAAGGGAAGTTGTAACTACAAAAGAACTTTTGTCACGGTTATTTGGCCTTGGCGGGGGCGGGGCGGGGTGGGGCAAGGTGGGGGGGGGGGCGCCGGTGCTCCCCAGCGCAACCCGGGAGCTTGGGGCAGAACGCGCACTTCCCCTCCTGCCCTAGGAGATCATCCTGAAGCGGGCAGCGGACATCGCCGAGGCGCTTTACAGTGTCCCCCGCAATCACAACCAGATCCCCACCCTGGGCAACACTCCCGCGCACACGGGCATGATGGGCGTGAACTCCTTCAGCAGCCAGCTAGCCGTTAACGTCTCGGAGACGTCACAAGCCAATGACCAAGGTACGCGGCCGAGCAAGGGTGGCCCCCTTGCCCAGACACAGCCGGCTGCCCACGCCCTGGGTGCGGCGGGAAGGCCTGCCGCGCTCTGTTCTCTGCGGCGAGGTCCTCGCGCCACGGAGCGCCCAGAGCCCAGAGCTAATTAGTGCAACTGTACCTCCTGCCACTCAGCTGCCCGGTCTTTGCTAGACGTTTCCTTGAGAGGCTGGGAGCAGCCACGGGCAGCTGTGGCATAGTAAGCGGAGGGGACCCTTCTCGGATATGCTGCACGGGTGGGGCCCGGAACCCGCGAGGGGAGAGAAGCTCCCGGGGGCCCCCGGGCCCCCCCCCCCCCGGCCGCAGCGCAGCTTCCCCCTTCACGCGGTGGCCCGGCCGCCGCGGGCCGCAGGACCTTGTCGCGTGAGCCGGTTCTGAGCGCCTTGTTTAGTTCTCCTCTTTAAAATCCGTGCAGGCAGCAGTCTCAGAAAACCCCTCTCCTGCCGTCCGCCCGCTCCCCCGCGGCGGGAGCGAGGCTGCCACTCCTCACCCCTCCCCCACACGCGCAGAAATGGTAACCGTAAGAACGAAGACCCCAAAACAGCCCTTCCCGGGGAGTTGCGGCCACAAACAAGCTCTCGCTGTCAGCCATGGCATTTGAAGGTCTGCGGAGGCCGAAAGTTCACGTAGTGTGGGGGGACAGCCCGCGAATCCAGGCTGTCGGTAATTGCTTCTAAAGAGAATCCTGGAAGCCGCTGACGGTTAGATCGAAGCGCGCTCGGCTGGCTGTCGAAGCCAACAGAGACCCGGAGCGGGGCCCGGCGAGCAGGCGCCGGGGCAGGGTTGGCGCCACGAGGTCGTCCGAGCTGGCGCGAGGCGCTGGGGCTGGCGTAGAGCGTGAGGTCGATTGACGGTGTTGAATATGTGGTAGGATTCGCGGGGAGACCCCCCCCGAGTGTCTCTGCCTGATAATAACGTTATTTTTGGCCGGGGGGGGGGTTTCAACAGTCGGCTACAGTCGCAATACAAGCAGCGTGTCCCCGCGAGGCTACGTCCCCAGCAGTACTCCCCAGCAGTCCAATTACAACACAGTCAGCACTAGCATGAATGGATATGGAAGTGGCGCCATGGCCAATCTAGGGGTCCCGGGCTCGCCTGGATTTCTTAATGGCTCCTCCGCTAACTCTCCCTACGGCAGTAAGTGTCTGTTTTGTCGTCACACGGATTCATGTTCACCTACCACGTCGAATGTGTGCATATTGCTTGGCTGTTCTGGGATGTGAGCTGCTGGACCAAAAGGGAGGGTGGCTCTGGAGGCTGGGGGTCCACGTGGCGGCGGCACATTGGCCACTGGCCGACGGTGGGGCCCCGCGAGGCCGCCCCGGGAACCCGAGCCAAAAATCGGAAGCGAAACGGGGGCCGCCCGGCGGGAAGCCAGAGCCCCGCGCCCCCCCCGCCCCGCCCCCCCGCCCCCCCCCCCCCGCGAGTTCGCCTGGCATCCAGAGAGCGGCCGAGCCGGCAGCGGGTCGCCCCTGCCCCGCTGGCCGCGGCGTCCCGGGCGAGGCCCCGCCAGCCCCCTCCCTGCGTGGTGTTGCCGTGCCGGCGCCGTGCGTCCTGACCCTGTTTGCTTTGTTACAGTAGTGCCGTCCAGCCCCACCGTGGCAGCCTCTTCGGTCACCCTCCCTTCAAACTGTAGCGGTACCCACGGCATTTTCTCATTCTCACCTGCCAATGTCATCTCTGCAGTGAAACAAAAGAGCGCCTTCGCGCCCGTGGTCCGGCCCCAAGCTTCTCCTCCTCCCTCCTGCACCAGCGCCAACGGGAACGGACTCCAAGGTGAGGGGCAGCGCCCCGGCCCTTCCTCCGGCCCCCCCCCCCCCGCCCTGCCCCGTCCCCCCGTCCCCAGGCATGCTCTTCTCTGGTGGCCGCGATGCCGCGTGCCCCTCCCGGTCTCCGCAGAAGCGACACCCGCTCGCGCACCCCCACCCGTAACAGACCCTGGTGGAAGAAAACCGTTTCCCTCCTGCTTCCAACCTAACCCACGGCGTCCTCGTGGTAAAGCCGCCCCTGCCCTCAGGAAAGGGGAACCGCTTGGGGGTCCGTGGTGGACGTCCACGCGGCAAACGGGCCTTCACGGCTGGCGCCCGCCAAGTGAGAGCAGGGTGCGCCCCGCCTGTGGCGCCTGGGCTTGCGGACCCCTGGCCCACGGGCGGCGTGACGGCCTCAGGATGGGGACGGCGGGGCCCGGTTCAGAGCCAGCACGCTCGCTGCGTCCCGAGTCCCAGCCTGCCTTCTCAGCCTGGCGCGGCAGACCTGGGGCCAGCGGGCTGTGCGGTCCTCGGAAAGGGGTGCACCGAGATCGGGGCCGTGCATGCGTGACCACCGGGGTGGGGGGTGGGGGGAGTTGGATTCTCTAGGCGATGCCTCTCACACGCTCAGGAGGGAGAAGGGCTGGTCCCGGGGGCAGGGGGAGGCATCCCGTGGACGCAGCTGCCCACGGCCGGGGCCACGTGGAGCAGGCACCCAGTGCCTGCCCAGGGCTGGGTCCCCCCGGGCAGCATAGGCCGCACGGTGGCCTGTGAGGTGTGCGGCGGGTGGGCCACGTGAGTGCCCCTAGGCCTCGTGATCTTACCGCGTGGCTCTTTGTGACTCACTGGGGCCACAGGCACTGAATTAAGTGGCCGTCGTCTGGCCTCTTTCAGACACCACCTTTGGTATATGCTCCTCCCGGTGAAAGTCAAATCCAGTTACTCCTTTAAAAAAATGAATCCATTCAACCAGTATTTACTGAGCGCCTACTATGTGCCAGGCTCTCTGCTGGGTGCTGAGGACGCTACCGTGGAGAAGACAAACTGGCCCTTTTGTGAAGTCGGTGGCATATTTCACTTTGATGAACTAATGCTCAAAAAAGGAACTGGAAAGGTATCCGTGATTTGAAATAATTGTGTTCCCAACATCTTAGTCGTATGAGAGGGACGCCCAGGCCCCGTGCGCCGCCGACCGGCCCGCGGCCCAGAGCTGCTTGAGAGGCAGGTGGCCGGGGGCCACGGCCCGTCCACCGTCCACACGGTGCGGAGGCCCACGGGAGGACGGCACACCCAGGCGGGGTGTGCACACGGGCCTGCCGAACCATAATGTTGTAACGGTGAGTCGGAGAGGAATGAATGCTGTGCAAATTGATGAACTGGGAAATTGAAGCTCACATCACCACGTGAACGAATGTATCGATAACGTTATACGTAAATTAACGAGAGTGATCATTCTGACAAAAATTAAACAACGCTAAAGTTAAAAGATTTTAAATTCTGTTCGTGCCAGGAGTTCACTGGAAGGCGTCAGCCGCGCTTGGCCTTTTAGCACCAAGTTTCTTACTCGTAGAGGAGGAGAAAGAGAGCCCCCCTGAGGTGGGGCTGTGACTTGGGTCTCTTCGGGGCCTTGGCCTTGAGATCGCAGGGCAGCTGGGCTGTGAGCGGCTTTGCTCTTGGAGAGCCTGAGACTCACCATTACGATATGGACCAATCAGCAGGTGGTCAGAGGCAAGGGCTCAAGGCGGAGGGGAAGTCCAGGCCCCTCCGGTTTTCACAGAGGGAGCGAGCGCAGCGCCTGGGTCCCACCGGGCCTGCAGGCCAGCCCTGGCTGGCGTCACAGAAGTGACCGGCTTGGTTCACATCTGTCGACAGAGGTGGCCTCTGGGGAGTCCGGGGCCTCCGTCTGCTGTAAACGAGCCACTGAGACGCGGGGGAGGCGGCAGCCCTTCCCCCCCC